CCCCCCCCCCTTTCCTCCTTTCTGCCAATTAAGTTAACTGGAAGGTTTGATTTTTGTTATATACACTGGCTAAAAAGTGATTTTTTTTGGTAAAAGCTATTTTTTACCCAAATTCGGTTAAAAAAATCTGTGTGAATTATTGGAAAATCTCTGTAGCCCCAACCATTGAAGAGTTCCATTTTCCTCTTTACAGAATGGATTATGATTTTTTATTATTATTATTAGACAGATCATTTATAGGTCTGCCTTGTTAATACACCCAGTGTGATAAATTATAATTCAGTAGTATATGCAGAATTTGGACTGTAGATATTGAATGAACTGTCTTTTTCTCAGCACCATCAATATTCTTTGTCTTTAAAAAAAAAATCGTCTTAATGTTTTGTGACAGTATGATGCCTAGATAAAAACCTGCTAGTTATAACACTTTCTTACTCTTGAATGCAGCCACCCGTGTTTCTCCTTTTCCAGTCTAAGACTGTTCATATGCTATTTTATAACCCTTAAGAGCAAAATTCATTTCTGGTTGAGGTCTGCCACAGTAATTTGTTGGAAGGACACTTCAGGTTTCATTTTAAAGACTCTAGAGCCCTTTAATCCATTCAGAAAGGATACTTTATAAACTAAAAACAGTGTCATTACAACCTGTTGAAGTATTATCATCTTGCATTTACATAGGACTGTGTGGATTAGGATTGATAATGGGTTAGAAATCCTTTTACTTCAAGGTCAGTAGTTGAAATGTTGCTGGAGCACAATGAGGGTGGTTATGCTGCAGCTGTTCCTGCCAGATATTTTTATTGGTAAGAGAGTATTTACTTCTACAGTGCTATGAACTGAGCCCTAATTAGTTAAAGAAAAAAATGTGGAGAACGCATTCTTTGTGCTTTTTTGTTATCCTTCAGATAATCTGAAGTACATCTGACAAAAATTAAAAGCCATGAAACTGACTTCTGTATTCAAGGACTGTTTCAAAACTTTATTTTTTGTTGTTTTTCCCTGTCTTACAGATCTCGGCCTTGATCAATTTATTCTGAAGCGTTATGATGGAAAGGTGAGCTAACTTTGACTTTGTTAGTGTTTGTTTGTTTGTTTTTTCTTCCCTAGAGTATCTCTTAATTCTTAACTTTTCAGTGAATCTGTGTCGAGGTATAAGTAAAATAGTGTTTAGTTTGTGTTGAAGCATTGCAGTGGTTTGTTACATAGCTGAACAGAAAAAAGTGAACAAAGGGTTGATTTAATGCTTCCAAAACGAAAACATGGTATAACTTCCATTTAACTGCAGCTTTTAACAGCTTTTTAGCAGGAACCAGGTGTTTTGCTATTACTTGCTAGCAAACTGACTAACCCTATTACAGTGAACACCCTCTTTTCTCCCAGTCCCATAGTGGTTTGTTATAATGATGGTGTGTTATACTAATTTCTTTGCCTGCTGGTGGGAGAGGGAATTTTGTATGTGCAGTAATCCTAAAATCAAACTTAATAGCAGCATCTGCTTGGCTGTATAAGATTATTGAGCATTACAAAGTATCAACTACTGGTATGCATATAGATATAGTTTTAGCAATCAAGCAAGCAATTCAATTATATATGTAGATTACCAGTCCTATGAATCCACTTCTCTGTCAGCTGGCCAGGTGTCACAGAGCAGGCTGGTTCCTTGAAAGGAGTTTTGATCTTTTCAATCTTCAGACGCAATCAGGATCAGGGAAGAATTTTTTTTTTCAAGGTGGTGATATTTATAGTCCTTTAGTCACATAGCCACCAGTTAGACAAGTTTCTGTTTTTCATAAACAAGTTTCTGATTTTTATACACATTGTATTATGTCGTCTTCTCCAGATCCTCTACTCATTGGTACCAGGAGCCTTCTACTTCCAATATGGGTGGAATGTGTTCTAATAAGCTGTTTTCTCAGACTTTTCACAGAAAAACAAATTGCATAATTGTATATCCTGTGTGCAGGTGTTAACTCTGTAAATACACTCTTGTCAAGGCTAGGCCTTGCGGGCCTAACAGACCATTTCAGTCTTGTCCAGTGTCAAGAGACTGAACTGTCTCCACAACAGTGTGCTGACTATGCTGTAATAATTTGGTTTTCCTTTATAGACAACACCAAATACTATATTATAGTTCTGAAACCAGGTTAATACTACTGAAATTAATAGAGTTATAGCAGGGATGCATTTGGTCCCAGAAGTAAAACACAAGTTGGTACCATGCTTAAGATGCTGCTTGATTCCTCTGTACAGGCTGAGCCAAGCTGCATTATCTAAGACACACCTAATTTTGTTGACTTGTGTATATGGACAGCTGTTATGTAAAGTAATGTAATATTCCTTTATACCAGTCATTCTTCACCAGGGTGTCATGAGAGCCCTTTAAGGGTGCCATGGTGTCTGGCCCCAGTGTGAGGAGGCAGGTATTTCAGGATGCCCCCTGTCTGGCACCCTGTGCTGCCCCAGCTACCCCAGTGGTGCCTGTGGCTGCTTTTCTGGGGACTCCTGCTGCCCTCCCCTGCCTGTCAGCCCCTGGTTCCTCCTCCCATGCCCCGCAACCTCCACCCCTACACTCTGATCAGCTTGCTCCATTACGGACAGGCAGGAGGACGTGGGGCTGGAGCTGTGGTTTTCAGTGCAGATTGTACTCCTATGGTCCCAGGGCCATGGGAAGAGGCTGTGGGCTCAGCTGGTTCTGGTCAGTAGCATGAGACAATACCAGAGGATCAGCCTCAGTGCTGAGGACTGCCTTGGCTTCTCAGGTACAGACTTGAGGGCAGATGGTGCAGAGATCTAGGAACAGCAGGGTGAGTTTTTTACTGTCACTGCCCTCGCCTGACATCAGACGGTTTTGCAGTTCTCAACTTTTTTAGCCTCAAAGTTTCCCTCCACAACTCTTTCGAATTTAAATGTAACTCAGTAATTCTCAACTGGGGTGCCACTAAGTTCAGAAAAGTTATGGAGGGGTGCTTTTTGGCCAGAAAGTTTGAGAATTGCTGCTGTATACCATTCTGAATACTCTTCAGTACCTTCATTGGTAGCAAAATTGTCATCTTGCCTACAGCAAAATTCCTTGAAATCCAAGCTTTCCTGTCCCCACCCAAATAAAGTAATTATTTTGACCTGTGATTGCTGAATGATACCTGGTATTTAATATGCAAATGTGGCCAGTTGTAGCTAGAAAGTCCTGACATTTGACTCCATGTTAATAAAACCCCAATCTGAGACTAAATGCATCCTAATTTACTTTTTGGTTTTGTATTTAATGGAATGCATTTTTGTTCATTTCCTGTGAGGAGGTGGCTGGACATAAAGCTAAATGATTACTCAAATATAGGGGTGTTTGTTGTGGATGAGTGCCTGTGTTCCCCCAAGGAGTAAAGTGTTGTTTAACTGAAAACAGAATATTAAAGTCGTTTTTGTCACCAAGTCACTTGGTGCATCTCATTTGGAACTATGAAACAGGTAAAATGATTGTTTTCTCCTTCCTTTTCTTTAAATCATAAAAAGTAGACTCTCTCCTCCATGCAATTCCTCCATTCTTTCTCCCTCTGCTAACTGTCAGTCCATATGATTTTAACACACTTTCATGGTATGTTTGCGAGACCATCAAATAGAACTTCATTCTTCAGGGTCTGTGTAAACAAAATTTCTTAGGAAAGAAATGCTGAGTCCCACACAATTTTGCTGATAGTTCCTCTGTTCCCGAGTACTGTACATGTCAAGTTCCATCATGTGGTATAAAAATATCAAAGCTTAATGGTTTGTTTACTGAAGTCAGATTTTTGTTCTACTGTTGCCTCCTTTCTGGGTAGAATTGTAATGCACTATAATACTTACGTACGTGATTGCAGCAGTATCAGAGACGCTTGCCCTTATATACTCCCATCTTGCCAAAGTAGCATGAAGGTGAATCAACCAGTAGATGCAGGCTGAAAGACTTATTTTTTATGGCCCTTGTTTGTTTGCTGCACTGTCAATCCTCCAATCTGACCTTCTGTTCAAACTGCAGTTGTTTTTATTTTGTATACTGTATTATAGGGGTGTTCAACTCATTAGGCCTCACAGATTGGATGAGGGGTGCAGGCCCAGTTTGCAGGCTGAACTGGACCTGCAGACTAGCCCGGTGTGCCATATCTGGCATGTGAGGATTGTTTGGCCTGGGTGTTGTATGCAGCATTCACCCTGGATTAGTGCTGGCTTCAGCCCCCTGCACTGCATACAGCATACAGGTCCCGTCCAGTCCAAGATTCACAGGAAGTACTGTTGGTCAGATGCTAAGGCCCTGTGGGTTGAATCTTGACACCCCTGCTGTGTTGTGTCTGTAGAGATGCTGTGCCCAGATAACATGCAAAATATACTGCATGAGACATCAGAGTTTTAAAATCAAGAGTATAATCAGTGTTATGCAAGGCAGGCTACAAGCAGAGGCTATTGTGCTCCATAGGCACTAGGGTCTGTTATGAAAGGAAGTAATGGCTCATGTGCATTTGACTCTTCTGTTTAAGGAATGCTGATGACAGAATTAAGTTAGCTTTGATTATGAAGATGGCAGTGATGACATGGCAAGGGGCTGAAATTAAAGCAAGATCTGGGGTCTTATTCAGTAATGCAGAGGTATAAATAATTTAATCACTAATAGATCAAGTTATCTAGTACCTTTTTTCCCCCTCACTTTATATTCTGCTCCTGGTTTCAGTTAAAGAATGAGCTTGTCTTAAACTCATTCAGATGCCCATTAAGTACCATAAAACTGAATCTTCTCATCCAAGTTTGAGTTACGTAGGTAATTAATCTAATGTGTTTTCTTGTTTGCTTTTTATCTTTTATGTTCTCATTCTTCATATTGGTTTCCCAAATGCATGCAAACACTCTAACTGAAGACAACCTCCTCCTTAGCTGCAGTTCTAACTTTGTGAAGCTATAATTGTGTGTGCTTTTTTGTACATTGGCAGAGATAGTGAATTTTAGTAAAAAGCTTGAGAGGTCTATTGTTCCCATGAATATACTGCATGATGTCCATTAGTGTTGATGGAAATTATGGTATAAGCATGTACTGAAGACAGAACAGACTTTCCCATTGGAAATTTCTTCTCCTTTTGTAAGATGAAAGGTTAAAAAAAATAAAATAAAGGATTCTGGTGGAAGTCAACAATGGTACTGAAAAGCATTGGTAATCTGAACTAGACATTGGCTAAAGAATAGAAAACAGAAATATTTTTAGTTGTAAACCGGGATTTATTTCTATGGCTCTATGTAACTAATAATTTAGAGAAAACTTCAGTAAAGAGAATAGAACCAGCTGTGTAGTCAGACGTGTTTTAATTACATACTGTAGAACAAAGTTTACAGATTTCTGTGAATTTTGTGCATGTATGTTGAAGACAAAATGTCACTAAATAGTAAATCAAATACATTAATTGTTTTTTTCCAGACAGTCTTAAAAAATTAGAAGGCAGCCAACAAATAGATTAGTCATGACCAGCACAAGTCATTTCCAAAGGTCTTTAAGCAGTTTATTGCAAATCTGTGAGACTTCCTAAATATTTGTCCATGTGAAAAAAGTTATGGTGAAAGAACGGTATTCTTCTTTCCAGCTAGTAATAAGCACACTTCCTCCTATTAAGGGGAGCACTGTACATGTAACTTCAATCCCTATACATGTCTCTATGAAGTAGCTGGAGATCAGCAGCCAGAGATGTTCATCCTAGATGTCAGATGTCCTCCATGGAGGAAGATGTTTTTACCTGCTACAGGCCTAAGTAGCAAGGTATAAGTAAGCATGGAGCTAGGTGACTTAATTTAAGAGCACCTACTTTCCAGAAGGGAGGCATCTATCTCTAATGTCTGTATACTGAATCAAATGTGTTTTGGGTGAACTTTTTTCATCAGCAGTACAGGCCTCTCTAGTGCCCAAATGAGACAATTTGTTGTGAGAACATTGATGAAGTGTTAGTAAAAAGGACAAAATCAATGCAAAAATTTGCAAGTGTTCATGAAAAACATTGCACACATTGATAAAAACCTTTATAGAAACCTTCAATTTCCTTTCTCTAA